AACCTTTAATCTACTTTCAGTGTCATGAATTGTCCCTAATTTAGTTATTTCATATAAAAGCAGTCATGCAAAATATCTCTTAACATGATGCTTTCAGGAACTAAGAATTTTCAGGGCAGGAGACTTGTCTTATATTTAAGTTTGTGGAGTAAGGTTGTGATATTGTGGGTTAATGTGCTAGACTGCAAAGTCGGTTTGAAACACAAGGTTGGTGGTTCAAGCTCACCAGCTGCTCCTTGGCAACCCTATACAGGGTCACTATGGGTTGGAACTGACTCAACGGCACTTAACAATAGTAGCCTATGTCTGTACTAACAGTATGTTTTACTCATACTTGGTATATGATGGTCATTTTGCTAATACCTTTCTGCCCAAACAAGTTGTAAACAATTGTAAAAATTTTAAACAATTTTTTTCTTCAGTTCTTTCAGCTTGAGAAATGCTGAGCATGTTTTCCCCTTTTGATTGAAAAGCATGTTCTTCTCTTTGGAAAAGGAGAGGTGTGTGTTTCTTCTTGCTCACCTTTTTGTGTTGCAGAGTTGACTAGGACCAATAACCATTTTTGGAGGGATGTATTAATAATTTCCCTGTGATTAGTTTATATTTCCCTTTACAATGTTGTTCTTTTGTAGCAGAATATGTAGAGGTTAAGAGTAATTTTCTTACTGTGAATCACCAAGGGATGAGGTGAACAGGGGACAAACATTTGTGCATAGAATAATTTTAAGTTCATTTTGAATTTGCCAATGTACCATATTCACTTTATTCTGTTTAGCTCTTCCTAGTATGAAGCACACATCAGGATTTGAGTTGAAAGGAAGTGCCTTGAAAGATTGCAACTAGCCTAAGAAAATTTCAGATCTGAGAACCCCACCATCAATGTTTTAGAGCCTGGATAGTGTTATTTGTTTGTGATTGGGTACTAACCTAAAGATTGGCAGATCAGACTCATCTAGTGGCTCTGTGGACAAAAGGCCTGGTGAGTTGTTTTTATAAAGATGCCAGCTAAGAAAATCATATGGAACGGCTCTATTCAGTAACATGTGTGTCGCCATGAGTTGGGATAGATTCGGTGGTAGCTGACAAGGTTTTAAGTAAGTACCAAGAATTTAAAACAAATCAAATATTGTAAATGAGTTTATGCTAAATCAATCTGTGTATTGTTGGATATTTGACTGGTGTATTTTCAAAATGAAATAAAAATTCGCTGCCTGATTTTTAACTGGTTCCGGCACTTCTGATAGAATTTGACAAGAATTGAAGTGTGAAGCCACATTTTGAATAAAGAGAAGAGGAAATAAGTATCTTGGTCATGGTTTTCTGAAATTTTAACAGTGACTTGAAAAAAAAAAAAAGGCAATATCCTAAGTGCCCAATTATAGAGGAATAAATAATTAATCTATGCTGATTTCAAGATGGTAATTTGCAATTAAAAATAATGCTTACAAATACTTTAGATTAATCAGAAAAATATTTTCCATCTATGATGTTAAATATGAAAAGCAAATGACTCCATGAAGTAATGATAAGTAAGTAAAATTATGCCTTGCTATGAGTTAAGGTGATCATCCATTCTGGCTTGGCTGGAAAAATCCATGAGTTAGCACTGAAAGGCTCACATCTTGGGAAATCCCTCAGTTCCAGACAAAGTAGGATGGTTGCTCACCCTACCTTGAACTTAGACTATAAGAGCATAAGGAAAAATGAAAGCAGATGATGTCAACTCCTAAATAAGTGGATACAACTGATTAAAAATATATTCTGTTCATAGTTATCAGATTGTTTTTACAAAAATAAAAACTGATAAGAAAATAATAAAGGTCAGAGGCTAATCTAGTACTTCAGTGCAAAGCATATTTTCTGTGGGCCAATGTTATTACTTGATTCTGTATTACCAAAAAGGAACTCTGGTAGCATAGTGGTTACGAGTCGGGCTGCTAATCTCAAGGTCAGCAGTTCAAAACTGCCAGTAATTCTGCTGGAGAAAGATGAGGCTTTCTGTTCCTGTAAAGATTTACAGTCTTGGAAACCATACGCAGGGTCGCTATGAGTCAGAACTGATTTCATGGCACACACCACCACCATATTTGCAAAGAGGGACCCTGGTGATACCATGTCTAAAGGTTTGGTTCTAACTGAAAAGTTGGCAGTTCAAACTCACCAGCTGCTCTGCAGGAGAAAAGACCTGGTTATTTGCTCACATACAGATTACTGTCAAGGAAACTCTATGGGGCAATTCTACTTTGTCCTATAGGGGCTCTATGAGTTAGAATGGATTTAAGGGAACACAGCTACAACACTTTGCTGAAGAGATATTTGGGGAAAAGGTGGTATTCAGGATTTTTCTTGTTCTTTAACAACAAACATTACAAGTGTTTCATATTACAGAGGCATGCGAGGCTAGTCAAAAACGATCAAACCCACTCTTATCAAGTCGATTCTGACTCATAGTGACCCCATATAGGGTTTCTGAGACTATGAATCTTTATAGGAGCAGATTACCTCAACTTTCTTCCACCAAGTGACCAGTGGGTTTCAATTGCCGATCTTGTGGTTAGCAGCCCAGTGTCTAACTCAAACCACCTTAAAACAAAACAAAAAATTAGAGATCGTGAAAATGAATAAGCTATAATGTTTAAGGAAACCCTGGATTTGGAAAGGGATCCTTCTTTACATTTAAGAAATAGAGAAAATAGGTAGAAATAAGATCCTGACTTTTTTTTAATGCTTTCTGATTTTATTTTTCCCTTCAATTTTGTCTTGATCACTCTCCTTTCTTCTAGTTCAAGATGGGGATGCCTGCCATATAGTTCAGAGTGAGGCATACATTGTTGTTATTGTTATGTGCCGTGAGTCGGTTCCGACTCATAGCGACCCTGTACAGGGTTTCCGAGGCTGTACATCTTTACCGGAGCAGAAAGCCTCATCTTTCTCCCGCGGAACAGCTGGTAGTTTCGAACTGCTGTCCCGGAGGTTCGCAGCCCAACTCGTAACCACTACGCTACCAGAGCTCTTTAAGGCATACATTAGTGATGACTTATTTTATAAAAATTTCCTTAGTAAGATGTGTGTGTAAGAATATGTTGTTGTTGTTATGAGCCGTGGAGTCGGTTCCGACTCATAGCGACCCTATGCAGGGTTTCAGAGCCTGTAAATCTTTATGGGAACAGAAAGCCTCATCTTTCTTTCACGGAACTGCTGACCTTGCGGTTCGCAGCCGGATTCGTAACCACTACGCTAGTAGAGATCCTTAAGAGTATACTGACATGAATATTTGATGACTTGTTATCCCAGATTGGAATGATGTGAATATGCACTCAAGGCTATATAGCAAGCAGCCTCCTCTGGTCCAGAGGTATGAGAATAAAGAAGGCTAGAAGAATACCAATCTTGGAACCATCTGTTGCAGACAAGAACATAAATATAGTTTCACATGTTTAAAACACATTTTGATAACTATATATACATGGAGGAAAGCTCTGCCTCCTTTTCTCCCCAAATTACTAGAAACAATTACCATTGGTGGTCTACATAGTCCATATACGTGCCACAATCTGGCAGCACTCAACATGTAGAAAATGCTCCAATGTAGTTGCTAGATTATAAGTCTATCTCCTTAGTTAGCATTCTTATTAGTTAAGATAAATCCCTTTGATATGAATTGTTGTTAAATTCTGTCAAGTCGGTTACAAGTCATAGCAACTCTACATCGGGCTTCCTAAAAGAGTTTGAACTACTGAATTTATGGTTAGCAGTCTAGTGCTTATCCCACAACATCAGAATACGAATTGAGAAAAATGGTGATTATTTCCTGAGATTTAGCATTTCAAACAATTATGTTATTTACAAGTATGATCTTCTTTCTGATAATGTCTACAACATTTAGCATCTGTATTACACAATCTAATGGCGAATTATATATTAATGATGTAAGCAGTTTTCCACATATTATAAAGGTCTAAGTCCTTTTAATCCAATGTATAAAACCTGCCTTCTAATTCTTCTATTAAATGTCTCTCTCAAAATTGCTTAGTTCTTGTTAGAGACTAGCTTGATAAGAGCTGTTAAATTGGCTCTAGTAGTTTATGAGGCATTTGGGCATGCCATTCAGTTATTTCAAATCTCACAGAATTTGAGTAAGAATATCTGGATTTAAAACAAATCTCTCACAATTACTAGCTGTGATTATGAGCAAGTTACCTTTACTTGATTACAAGTTACTTCTTTGAGTAACTTGTGAATTAGGGATAGAGATTCTTTCTTGGTCATAGAAGAACAAATAGAATTATTAGATTAAATAGTTTGTATACTAGAACGCATCCTACATCCTATAAGTACAGTGTTGATCATTATTTGAGGTTTGGGTACTTATCACAACATTTATCTTTCACTCATTCTTCTCTTGCATCAAGGCTAGAAATAGATAACGTACGCAACCAGGAGCTAGGGAAAGTTGGGACATATAGAGACATCTCATAAACTATGCTGCTTGTAGAATGAATGGGTTGGTTATAGATCACTTAGAACTTTTCCTAATATAGTGTGGAGGCTCTAAAAATCTTTTATGGTATCAGCCTATGAAAATACACATGAGCCAGGTTTCTTCTTCCACCTACTTATTTATTTTTACTTTCTTTAAAATAGTGATGCAAAAGGAACTCTACAAAACACACAGTCATGGAAGGAATTGAAGAATTGAAGACAGTTTAGGATGGTGAGGAAAAGGCTAGAGGAAAAACACATTCTGCAGCACTTATTCTGCCTTTTTTTTTTTTCTGTAAGAAAAGTTGCACAAAACAAGAAGCATAGTGTACTACAATTGCTGCATTTTCTAAATGAGAGTTAGAAGGGTGTGGTGGTACCCACACAGAAATGTCAGAGATAGAAATGTGGAGGATCTGCATGCATGGGGGTATATATGTACATACTTCTTTTTAGAAACCATGAACCCTAATGCTTAAAAAAAGGAAACCGAAAACAGAAAAAACAAAACAAAACATTTAAGGGGAGCTATCAATTTCTATTGGTGAGGATTCTTGATCTTGGGGAGGTTCTGGGAAGTTTATTTCTCTTTCTTCTTCCTCTTCTTCTAGGACTGGAATAATTTCAATGTCTTCTTCATTCTTTGGTTGGGAAGATATTTCAGTTAGCTCAACCACCTGTTCTTTTATTTCAATTGCCTGTTCCTTTTTTTCTTCTGCTGACAGAAGAACCACGTTCTAGAACACAAAATAAATAAATGTTTTTTGATCTTTATTATTGACATCATTCTCAACAATCTCTACAAATATTCACCAACTACCTCTGAATAAATCCTCAAGGCCAGTAAGCATTTGGCATTTTGTCTGGAGGGATCAAGAAAGAATACTGAATTATTAGAGGGATTTAGATTCCAGCTCCGTTTTACCTTTAGTGGAAATGACCCAGGACAGGTAATTTTCCCCCTGAGTCTGCTTTCCTCATCTGCAAAATGGAGTTGATGATGATTTCTAATTTCTACTCTAATTTTAACATTCTATGCTTTTGAAGCAGTTGACCTATCTCTGGTTTATCTATTTGTGGATATTCAACTGTAGATCCTTTTGGAACAATTTTTTTGGGAAGAGAAATAGGGTGAAAAAGCAAGAAGAAGAAGGGACAGAGAAACAATATCAAAGAATTCGCAGTCTCCATTCTTCAACTGTCCTTCTTTCAAACATTAAATATAGAATCATGAACCAAGTGGAAGCCTGAAGTCTAGCCCAAATGGAATGTTCAATCCATGATATTTTCAAATGCTTCATATGCATATGAAATTTGGACAATGAATAAGGAAGATTGTAGAAGAATTGATGCATTTGAGTTATGGTGTTAGAGAAGAATTTTGAAAGTACCAAAGACTGCCAGAAGAACATACAAATCTGTGTTGGAAGAAGTACAGCCAGAATGCTCATTACAAGCCATGGTGGCAAGACTTTGTCTCCCATATGTTGGACATTATCAGGAGGGACCAGTCCCTGGAGAAGGACATTTATGCTTTGTAAAGTGGAGGGATAGTGAAAAAGAAGAAGATGCTTATTGAGATGGATTGACACCATGGCAGCAGCAATTGGCTCAAGAGTAGCAACAACTGTGAGGATGGCACAGGGCCAAGTAGTGTTTCATTCTACTGTGCATTGGGTAACTATGAATTGGAGCTGACTCAACGACATCTAAAACTACAACAAGGTATACATAGTACGAAACTGCATCTTCTATATAGTCTTTGGACTTATTTTTAATGGGAAGACATTTTTCCTCATTACTGGAATTTATTATTTCCTGGAAATATGACAAGACTAATTTTCCTGAAGCTCCCCAGTCTTAATGTCTCATCAGATCACATTTTCCACAAAAGACGTTTTGCAGAAGTGATGTTTTTAAGAGGGAGATGGTGAACAGAGTGGCCACTACTTACAGATTTAGGTCTGGAGCACATTCTTTTCCAGTCGTTCTCAGCAATGCCAGCTGTCACAAGCTTCTGGAAGAAGGAGAAGGTGAGCATTGCTGCAAAAATGCCCTAAAAGACAATAGAAGAATGTGAGTGAAAATGTTATAATGGTACAAAAACACAGAACTAATTTTCAATAAGTGACTGTTGAAAAACAATCAATAACCGAAGGGTCAATTTCTTGTGTGGTAATGACTAGTTGTGAGAATTACTAGTATAGGAGACCAAAAAACCAACTGCCATTGATTTAGATTCCAGATAACCCCATGTGTGTCAGGTAGAGTTGCATTTCATAAAGTTTTCAATGACTGAGTTTTCAGGACTAGATCACCAGGTCTTTCTTCTGAAGCACCTCTGGGTAGACTTAAACCTTCCACCTTTCAGTTCGCTGCCAATGTGTTAACCATTTGCACCATCCAAGGATAGATCTTTATAACTCTATCCCTTAGGACAACTCCTGGCACACAGCAGATGATTCATGTATGTTGCAGGCATAATCAGTTGAAGAATCAATTTTACACAGAAGAGAATATTTACTAAGCCCTGTAGTACTGTGGGTTAATGTGCTGGACTGCAAAGTCAGTTTGAACCTCAAGGTTGGTGGGTCAAGCTCACCAGCTGTTCCTCAGAAACCCTATACAAGGTTGCTATGCCTCAGAACCGACCTGATGGCACTTAACAACAACAACAACAATTAAAATTTTATCCAGCTTTAGAAACTATGGTATCAAACTATGGAGACCTTTCAACACTTGAGAGGTGTTTTCCCCCCTTCCACTCTATATTAAAAACTCCTTGAGGTAAAAGATATTTGCAACAACCTATTTACTTCTTCCATCATACATCTTTCTTAATCAATAACAATATAATTACTATCATTATTAATAATGTTGTTGGCAAATACTTTTGAGTCTGTTCTGACTCCTAGTGATCTGTATAGGATTTCTGAGGAATGGCTGGCGCGTCTGAACTGACTACCATGTGATTCACAGTCCAGTGCTAATCCTACAGTGCCACACTAGGAGAATAACAACAATAAATATTAATAACAATATTTCTATGCATTTTCTATGTATCACACACTGTTATATATGCTTTGAATGTATTAACTCATTTATTCCTAAAACAGTCCTATAAGTGCTGTTTTATAGATGAAGCAATTGAAGCAGCCTGTAGTAAAACCTTGTTAAAGGCCACACTGTTAATAAGTAGCAGACCCAGGTTTTCCAGATCTAGAGTTGATGGTCATAATAAAGATCTGTATTTCTTTCCTGGAAAGAAACTCAGTTGTTTCACACTTACCAAGAACACAGATCGCACACTGTAACAGTATTGTGTAGATGGAGAGTTTTCGTCAGACACCTTCATTGATTCACAGTTGTATATATTAATTTGTGGTTTGGCAGCTTTAACAAGATACAGACGCTCCATTTTAAAAAAGTGGGAGAATGTAATATTAAATATGTCCATGATCAAAAGAATTATCCCAGAAATGGCAGCAAAGAGGCTCAGTGAGTTCATTATCATTTTTCCTTTCACCTAAAATGGTGACACAAAGAGTTGTTTATTGAATTTGATTTACAGTTGTAGAAAATAAGCTAGGAAAGATTCCAAATGCTATTGTCCTGTTTCACAAAGGTACTACACCAAAATCAGACTATGGTTCATCTCACCAGCACCAACACCAAAACCACAACCCAGTCCCTCTCGAAACAAGGTTCAGTCTCAGTCAATCATCTTTCAAAATACAATGATAACATATCTCTGGGAATATAGATAAGACAATGTGGGTGTGAATGCAGGGTAGGGCATTCACACCTATGTTGTCTGGGTGTGAATGCAGGGTAGGGCATTCACACCCACATTGTCTTATCTATATCCCCAGAGACATAAATTATCATTGTAGGGCTGACAAAATGTTCAAACAGGAAACACATATAAAAAGTTTCCTAGCAATTTGTGATCTCTCATGATTATTTTATAACATACATGCTTCACCCTTGGCTACATGACCTAGAGATAGCAAGTTAGTAGGCCTGGCTATAGTTGGAGAATAGAACAATTTCCAGTCAGTACACCATTTGCTTTGAAAGTGACTCAACTTCATTATTGCTTTGAAGGTATAAAAGTGTGTTGAGGGAGAAGTGTCTTCAAATTGTACTCAGGAAGAAACTTATGGGTGAGCTTCTGACCCAAAAGAGTTTTATGTAACAGCTTATTCCTGGGTGTAGATTAGTTTCTGGGGGTTGTATGAACAAGCTACACTGTGTAGATCTTGACATCTGCTCAAGCGTTTCCACACATGTTGCTCAATTTTATCTTTAAGGCAATTAAGTATAATAGCAAGAACTACTACCTCCATTTTTAGGTGAAAACTCAGAGGTACAGAGAGGTAAACTGACCTACTCCATGTCACACCTGAACATGAACTTAGAACTTGAATAAATTATAGCACTGAACAGATGATTTCCCTAAATGGTGGTCTGGGATAAAAGACAGTTTTCAAAAAGATCTATTATTTTCATATAGCATCTAACATTTATAGGACTAAAGTATGTTCTTCATTTGTTTGTTGTTACCAAGTGCCATTGAGTTGATCCTGACTCATAGTGACGCTGTATAGGGTTTCCAAGGAGCAACTGGTGATTTTGAACAGCCAGCCTCGTGTTTCAAACCGACCTTAAGGTCCTGAGCTTATCTTTCAGTGCCATATGATCTGTGCTTAATTCTGTTTCCATGGAGATAGTTCATGCAGATCTCATTTCAGAAATTTTAAATGAATAGAATCACAGCAGGATGGTGGGGGATCCTTTGCTTTTTAGAGTTAAAAGAGAACTCTGTGCTACTGTGATACCAAATATATATATTGCTGTTGTTAAATGTAGCCAAGTCGGTTCTGACTCATATCGATTCTGCATAGATTCTGAGGAGCAGCTGGTAGGCTTGAACCGCCACCTCGTGGTTCAAATTAACCTTGAGGTCCAGTGCTTATCCTATAGCACCACACGAGAATTCCCCAAAACAATTTTAGTTTCAATATATATATTAACTTTTCCCTTAGAAAGAAGGACATGTGGTTACTTGCCAAACTATTCCTGGGATTTTTCTCCGCTGCTACCTGGAGTGATCCAGAAATGATAAACTGCAAAGAAAGAGGGGGTGCATGGAGAAGGGATTGGGGAGAGAAGAGAAGAAAGGAAGATCAGAACACTAACATTGAGAACTGGTTGTAGAGAAGACACCCACACCTTCTGTTACTGTCACTAAACTTTCCACCCATTTTTATTGGATCCATTTGTCAGCAGCCATAATTCTCTTTTATTCAATTTCAGTGATATTCAATAGATCGCCTCTACTCGGCCATCTGGGGGCTGTGACTAGGAATATTATAAGACTCACATTTCATATTTTTATTTCAATTAAGACTCACATTGTAAATTTTTTAACCTCTTTTTTTTTTTTAATTTGTGGAAATTGCTTTTTGGGGTTCACAATTATTTAAAATGACTTTGATGCCAACAAAAAATCAATCAAAGAAGAAGGAACGACTTGGCCTGAGCATCATAGGCACACCATTACAATGTTGGTTGCTACAAGTAATGATTATTTTTTATCTTCTTTTTTAAAAGTTTGAGTTGTTTCATAGAGGAAGATTTGTTCTAATCTGACTCTTCGTGTTTAGGAAATTTGAATCTCAGACTCAACTTTAAAGTGTTAACTATGAAAGTGTAGGAATCATCACATGAACATCATGCCAAGACAGGACTACAAGCTTGGACAACATTTACAAAAAACAGGTTAAAAAAGTGTCACTTGGGTGACAAGCCAAAGGAGGTTTATTTGGGCTGAAACTAATTTCATCTAGTGTCGTGGGTGAAGGGAAGAAGGATAAAGTGGGAGGAGTCTCAGGATGTTACTCTTCCTTCTTGCTTCCAATCCACTATGCCATACAATCCAAATGTCTAATTTCCTAACCCCAATTGACTTTGGAGAAGTACTGGATTGAACAATCTTTTATGTGTAGATCCATGCAAGATATCTTTCTTTGAATTCACATGAGTTTTACCCTTGACTTTCAACCAGGGAGCATGATCACTCAACCACAGGATGCATACTCAGTGCAGTCAATATCTTTCTGAATAATGAAGATCATAGAAAAATTGATACATTTGAGTTATGGTGTTAGAGGAGACTATTGAAAGTGCCTTGGACTGCTAAAAGAACAAACAAATCTGTGTTGGAAGAAGTACATCCAAAGTACTCCTTGGAAGTCAGGATGGCCAAACTTCATCTCTCATACTTGGGACATAGTGTCTGGAGGTACCAGTCACTGGAGCAGTAATATCATGCTTGGTAAAGTGGAGGGTTAGAGAAAAAGAGGAAGACCCCCAGAGAGATGGATTGGCACAGTGGTACCTGTGATGGGCTTAAATGTAACAATGATTATGAGGTTGGCTCAGTAAAGGGCAGTGTTTCATTCTGCTGTTCATAGGGTCTCTCTGAGTTGGTGTTGACTCGATGGCACCTAACACAACAGCAACTTTGTTTCCTATCCATATACTACCCTTCACACAGAAACGATCTGATATATGTCACTGGGCTTTTTTACATGTTGTATGCACCTCCAAGTGGTTGTTATTTTTCACTCACCATAATGCCTCCCCAGAGAGGGTACCAGACAGCCATGCAAATGGGTGCATAGATCCCTATGGGGATCATCAGAAGACTCCCCAGAGCAAAGTGGAACAACCCATTCATGATCTGGATAGCCTGAGGAGAGAATAGAGACACTGATGGGTGAACTAAAATCATCATCAAGTTAGAAGGGAAGGGAAGGCTGGAAGTTCTGACTACTGACTTGGGTCAGTGAAAACTGTCTTGAAGGAAGCTGTGAAGACCTTTGTCTTTTATTATTCAGACAAGTCTTTCCCATCATCTGTGACATTTCCAAGGATCAGACATCTCTGGCATACTGGTCCAAATTGGAATAGGAGGCCCTTAAATACACAAGCCCCAATGCCATTACCCAAAAGGGAGTAATATCACTGGGGTGGTTAGGTGATCATTTTCATGATAGATCCAGTTTTGGCCCACCATGTGAGACATGGAAAACACCTCAGTTGGGTCAAGTCTCTTCAAGTTGAGTTAAATTCTGCACCTGACCTACAGTATCAGTTTTAGTAGACCAGAGTATTCCTAGGATATGGAGTGGAAGGCAACTGACTTACCCCCAAAGCCTTTGACTCCCTTATGAAGAAGTGTTGTGTGGGGCCCACCAGTGAAGACATCTTCCAAGGAGTTATTTTCTGAACTGGATACATGCCAATAGGACTTTTTATCGGCTCTTCTGGTAAAGTTCCACTCATTGAGTTTCTGGGTGTCATCATTTCACTCTCAGAACTTTAAGAAAGAAAACAAATGATAAAATGAAGGAAATATGAGATTTGTGGCACTCTTCAATTTTGTCTCACACATCTGAATGCTTCTTTTTTACAGTCCACCCATGGATGTCATTGAAGCATCTTCCTAGTAGCCTGGGATCTGAGGTAGGCCAACTGCTGAGTTTTGAGCAAGGTTCTAGAGGAGGTAGCTCAGTTAAGGACATGTTGTTGTTGTTTAGTACCATCAAGCCAGTTCCTACTCATAGTGACCCTGTGTTAGGTCATCAAAAAGTGGCTGGTGGGTTTGAAACATTGTCATGGTTAGCAGTCCAGTGCTTATCCTACAGTGTCACACTAGGTCTATGGTCCTAGTATTCTTCGTAGTGAACATCATGATCATACTCCATGTGTTCCATTTGCCTCTTGTTTCAGAATGCTGTCTTATACTTTTATATCAGCAAATTTATTTTGTATGTCCTTTTGTTTATCTGTCTTTGTCTAGTATTATGGGCCAGAGATACCATGACCAAGTATGGTGACGATTGCTCATGAAATCAGAAGGGCTAATTCTAGTTCTCCCTCTGTCTCTATTACCATTCCTTTGTCAGTTGGATGTACTGTGATGACTTGCATGCTACTATGATGCTGGAAACTATGCTCTGGTATTTCAAATATCAGCAGGGCCACTCATGGTAGGCAGTTTATAGTGGAACTTCAAGACTAGGAAGAAAAGCCTGGTGATCTACTACCTAAAATTAGCCAATGAAAGTATTATGGTTCACAAAACAGAATACCATTCAATAGAGTGCTGGAAGAGGAACTCTCTAGGTTGGAAGGCATTAAAATACACAGTGGCTGCCAACAAGGGACTGGAGTATATTTATGACCATGAAGAGGGTGCAGGACCATTCAGTGTTGTGTATGGCATTGTCATGTGTTGGAACTGATTCAAAGGCAGCTAACAACAACTCTGCTTCTAACTCTGTGACCTTCAGTGAGTTGCTTCAAGAAGGTTTCATAGTGTTCTACATAGAACACAGAGTCTAAACTCTATGTGATCTCTATGTGTTGTTGTTGAGTGCTGTCAAGTTGGTTCCAACTCATAGCAACCCGTTATAGGCTTGCTTTAAATCTTTGTGGTATCAGAAAGCCTCACCTTTCTCCCATTGAATGACTGGTGGACACTGACCACTGACCTTGTGGTTTGCAGTTCAGTGCTTATCGTACGGAGCCACCATGCCTAAGTTTAAATCACAGTTCTTCTATTTGTTGTGAGACTTTGTGAAAGTTCTTTAAATTATCTGGGCCTGAGGTTCTTCAACTGTAGACTGGGGTTAGTAATAATTCTTGTCTCACAGGGTACTATAAGACTTAGTCAGATGGTCTGTGCAGGACTGGTATTTTTATTAATTTTTTTCTTTCATTCAGGTGTAGTTAAGATAAAGAACCCTGGTGACTCAGTGGTCAAGTGTTTGGATGCTAACAGAAAGCCCCATGACTTGGACTCACCAGCCATTCCACAAGCAGTTTGCATCTTTAAACATTACAGTAGAAATCCTATTGGGGGTTCTACTTTGCATTAGACACTAAAGACTCAAAACCAGAAGAATTATGGGATGACAGAAAAAAAAACATCATACAGGAAGAAAGCAAAAGATCATTAGGAAGACAAGAAAGATGGAAAAGATCAAAATGGATGTCAGAAGAGACTCTGAAATTTCTTCTCCAGCATAGAGAGGCTAAAGCAAATGGGAGAAACGGGGAAAAGAGCTGAACAAAAAATTTCAGAGGTTAGCTCGAGAAGACAAAGTCAAATATTATAATGAAGTGTGCAAAGACCTTGAGTTAGAAAACCAAAACAGAACAATATGCTTAGCATTTGTCAAATGAAAGAACTGAAGAAAAAATTCAATATTGAATTTTTACAATATTGAAGAATTTGATGGACAAAATATTGAATGATGGAGGAAACATCACAAGAAGATGGACGAAATGTACAGAGTCACTGTACCAAAAAGAAATGATTGATGTTCAACCATTTCAAGAGGTAGCATATGATCAAGAGTTAATGATACCAAAGAAAGAAGCCCAAGATGCATTGAAGGCATTGGCAAAGAACAAGGCTCTAGTAATTGATGGAATACAAATTGAAATCTTTAAAAAACAAAACAAAACTGATGCAGTACTGGAGGCACTCATTCATCTATAGTAAGAAATTCTGAAGACAATTAGCTTGCCAACTGATTGGAAGAGATCCATATTTGTGCCCATTTTAAAAAGAGGTGACCTAATGGAATGCGGAAATCAATGGCATTAAATCATTAATATTGCACGCAAGTAAAATTTTGTTAAAGATAATACAAAAATTACTGCGACCATACATTGCCAGAGAACTTCCAAAGGTTCAAGCCAGATTCATAAGAGGACATGGAACAATGGATATTGTTGCTGTTGTCAGTTGGAATTTGGTTGAAAGCAGAGACTACCAAAAAGATATTTATCTGTGATTTATTGACTATGCAAAGGCCTGTGGATCATGACAATCTATAAACAGCATTGTGGAGAGTAAGTATTATGGAGCACTTAACTGTGCTCATGAAGAATCTGTACATAGATCAAGAGGCAGCTATTTGAACAGAACAAGAGGACACTGAGTGGTTTAAAATTAGGAAAGGTGTGCATCATGGTTGCATTCTTTCACCACACTTATTCAACCTGTATGCTGAGCAAATAATCCAAGAAGCTGCATATGAAGAAAAATGTGGCATCAGGATTAGAGGAAGACTCATTAAAAACCTGTGGTATGAAGATGATATATCTTTTTCTTTGCTGAAAGTGAAGAGGACTTAAAGTACTTACTGACGAAGATCAAAGACCACAACCTATGGTATGGGTTGATATTAATATAAAGGAAACAAAAATCCTCACCACTGGACCAATAAACAATATCCATGTAAATGGAGAAAAGATTGAAGTTGTCAAAGACTTCATTGTGCTGAAATCAACCATCAACACTCATGGAAGCAGCAGTCAAGAAATAAAATGTTATGTTGCCTTAGGCAAATATGCTGCACAAGACCTCTTTTAAGTGTTGAAGAACAAAGATGTCAGTTTGAGGACTAAGGTGTACCTGACCCAAGCCATGGCATTTTCAAAAACCTCATATGCATGAAAGAACATAGAAGAATTGATGCATTTGAGTTATGGTGTGGGAGGAGAATATTAACAGGACCATGGACTTTCAAAATAATGAACAGATATGTGTTGGAAGAAGTAAAGCCAGAATGCTTCTTGGAAGCCAGGATGGCCAGACTTCACCTCTAATTGTTGTTATTGTTAGGTGCCATCGAGTCACTTCAGACCCACAGTGACCCTGTATAGGGTTTCCTAGGCGTGGCTGGTGAGCTTGAACCGCTGGCCTTGCGGTTCAAACCAACTTTGCAGTCCAGTGCATTAATTAAGTCCATACTTCTTACATATTGTCTCTCAGACTTCTTACATACTGTCACGAGGGACCAGTCCTTAGAGATGGGTATCTTGTTTGGTAAAGTGGAGGGTCAGAGAAAAAGAAGACCCCATAGTAGCAGCAACAACAGGCTCAGGTGTAGCAACAATTTTGAGATTGGCACAGGATCGGGCAGTGTTTCATTCTGCTGTGTACATGGTTATTATGAGTCAATACCCATTCGATAGTACCTAACAACAACAACAACAACAACATCAACAGCTTTGTCCTACAGGTATTCTGTAAGTCAGAACTGACTCCATGGCAAAGGATTTGATAGCTCAAGAGTGACCTATTATGAGTAGCTTCCCTTTACTCCTCAATCTACAATGTATCCTTTCTAGCTTCTTTCTTTGGAGATTAATTTATGAACATTTGTGTCAATTTAAACCAAACTAAACCCAGTACCAACAAGTTAAATGCAACCCTATGCACTTCAGAGCGGAACTGTGCTCCACAAGTTTATGTGGGTTTTTTTTTTTTTTTTTTGGTATTGTCATTTTATGGGAGTAGATAGTGGATAGCCAGGCCTTTCCTTTGAGGTGCCACTGGGTGGGTTGAAACCACCAACCTCTTGGTTAGTGGATGAGAGTAAACGGTTTGCATCATTCCTAAGAATTTTATTGGATCTTGTCTGCCATAGGAATCTCTTCTTAAGGTTGTCTTTGAGGGTAAATCATATAAATTGTCTTGGAGACTAAGACAATCTGCCTAGTTTACTTATCTTATCAAAGTCACAGAGAGCTAGAAAATGACAGGGATGCTCTAAGACAGGTGGTTGTGAGTCTCCAGGCATCACATTTGTACCTACTTTATAGTTTACAAAGGGATTGTACATCTGTCATCTCATTCACACCTCATAGAATAGACCAGGTATGAACCATTGCCATCTTTTGTAGATGAGGAAACAGGAGCACAGCAAAGAAACATGTTCAAAGTGGTGTAACTTTTACAGAATTAAAGTGAGTACTTATTTCTATCTAATTAGGGATTGTCTAATGTTCTTTTTAGGAACTTACCACACTGCTTTATTCATGGGGAAAAGGAGTTCAGCCTCGTTTTTATTGTCTTTTTCCTTTTCCTTGAAACATCTGTGCTCTTTGGGTTATTATAAAACAATTGAAAATGGAGTGTTTGGGCAGGGGCTGTAGGAGACGGAGTCGGCTTTGATGTGTACTTCTCACTTGATTTTGCTCCAGCCCTAGATTAGTAGCTATCATGTGGTATTTGCTTTGTACCACAAACCACTCCACAAGGCCACCAAAAAAAAAAAAACAACAAAAAAACCCCACAGGATTATGTGAATGCAGTCCATCAAAGAGTCTACAAATTGATTCTTTTCTGAGCTATTCAGACCTCAGAGACTATTCTGGTCATTTGACAAATGAGGGAACTGCAGTCCATGGATAAGCTATGTCTTGTTAACTTATTGACAAAGCCAAGTCACCACGGCTTTCAAGTTGATGCTATTTCTGATACACCACAACCTAGACTAGATAGT